TTGATTTCCACTTATTTGGAATAGCAGAAATTAATTGTGTGTATTTAAAATGGTTACAAATATCCTCATACTTTGTAGAGAATTCTCTATTAAACATAATTCTACCATTGGAGTTCAAAATATCATTTACAAACATAATTTTCCTATTAATGAAGGCATTAAACACAACAGGTACACCTTCAATTAAAATACTTGCATTCATAACAAGGAAAATCGTAGATTTTGTACCTCCGGGTATTGTAATGTATGTTGCAGAATGTTGGGTGCATGTTGGGACTGTTCTTTAAATTAGTGAATGGTGTCTGGGTGTGTGTGTGTTCACGCGAATACCATTTTTTCCAAAAGTTTCGAAATGTTTGTAATTGGCTAAATGATCTGTGAAATCACTAATCCCCTCCAGCCGACTGGAGCCCCAAAATAGAAAGGACAGGGGGCATCCCGTGGCGAATCTGGCTGCCCGACCCTCAGCGACCAGCGATAATGTAAACAAACACCTACACAAACGGCCGCGTGAGAAATCAACTCCAGTGCGCGGAACTTGCTCTCGAAATTAATTTATCAAGCCGCTACGCTTCCCCCCGCGGCTGCCATCCCTCCCCACTTATCCCACACTAGTTCAAATCACGTCTAAAAACCCCATCAAAACATGCACAGAAGCGTGTTCATATCTTTCATGTTACGGTTAAAACTTAGAACCTCATTTTGAGCGAACGTTACAAACACGAGACAAAATGATATTTTCGCAAACAAATCGCAATCAGCAAGATTTCATTCCTGTTTCATTCATCAAAAGTTCTTGTTGATTGTAAAATGATCACTCATCTGTTGTCTCCTCTAGTGTGTCATTTGTAGCGTAATCACGGCGTGCCAAAAAATCAGTCAAAACTATGAAAATTCCGGGATAAAAAACTTGGCAAAAACGTGTTCTCCACATCGCTGTACAAAACCATGCGTGCGCCATTTTGATATGTGAATAGCAGCGCGCGATCTACGCTCTCATTGGTTCACCTCACATGACCTGCGTTCCGATTGGATAAGCGATATCGAGCCGGCAGCGCGATAGAATTTCTTTATCAGCGAAGAGGCACATTTTCGCTGCTTTCTACGTTTTTTCTACGACTACTTAGCAACATCCTATAAAAAAAAGGGTGATTAGACTCTAAAAGAATTTTCGGGACAATTTCTATGCGCCCTTTTTGATGTTCGAGCCAGATAAAAATAACCCGCGGTACCCGGAAGTCAGCGTACCGAGCTGGATTTTCATGGGTCCCGTCTACCCCAACGCGAGAAACAACTGCGATAATATTTTTCCTCGATACCTGATACCCCCTCTCACCAGATGTGGACGACGCCTGCGACACTTTATACACGCCGAAAATCAAAAGACAAAACCACTTTCACACACAAGGGGTGTCCATACGCTGTCACAACGCATCATTTTCACGCACTAAAACACACATACTAAACAAGAGTTCCGCGATCTCATACCTTCGCCAAGTGATGTTAACCCTTGCGGTTGACGAATTATACAATTTAATCATCGATTTTGTAAATAAGAGCCTCATTTGCATGGATTATATCAGTTGATCATATTCAATCTCCACCCAATGACAGCCTTACTTTAATAAAAAGGCTATTATAGCACTTCTTCATAAATTATGCAAATGAGGTCATGATTTGAATAAATTATGTTTATTGATGTTCAGCTTCACTTAACTTCCAAATGTGGCAAGTATGAAAGTCCCAACAGTTACAACCATGAAATTATAAAAATTTGCCATTAATTATGCAAATTAGGCCCTCATTTACATAATCTATATCCTCAGATGTTTTATCTCGTTCTAAAGTAGATGTCACAAGTGTTTCATAGTTCTATTATCGAACAAAGCAGATTTATAGAATGTCCTCATTGATTATGCAAATTAGCTCCTGATTTGCATAATTGT